GGCATGTTCCATCTTGCAGTGAAGTAATACACGGACCAATACGTACCATCTGATACGAATTTTTATGAAGTTCCCTTGAAGCACTTTAAAACTATTTAATTCCTTTTGTGGCACAGAATATTTTAAAAATGCTGTAGGAAAAAGAGAAAATAAACTAGAAAGATTTTCATGGTCCTCAGAATAAAAATGTGGGAGTGAGGAAGGGGGAAAAGCAGTGGTGGTATGTAGCCGATGTGAAGTGAGGAAAAGTACTTCTGCCTCTCTTCCACCTCCCTAGTTTTGCAGCACTGGATCCACTGGGCAGAGTCATTTAGAAAAATATGTTTTATCATGGAGTATCATTTCTATTTGGAGCCAAAGGATGATGACTGCCTTCTTCTAGCCCAGACATGGGTTGCCTGGAATAGGCTGGGGGGTATGTGTGTAAGGAAACAGATCTTTGAATTTAATTTTCTTGTATTTTAAGATAATGAACGTACAAAAATAAATGGTTCCTTCTATCTAGTGCCATATCCAAAAGCAGATTGGAATCACATGAGAGGCACCAGGAGATAAGATCTGGTGGTAGTGAGATGCTGCACTGATGCTTGATGGTATATACCCTATTTCCTGATCCACAGACATGTTTGCACTCCCTTTCACAGCAAAGAAGCTTCTGTTTCTTAGCAATCTGTGCATTGCTTGCACTGCAGCTAACTGGAATTGTTTCAAATTAATAATCTTGTATACACGAAGATGCAATTAGTACTTAATATGCAAAATGCTTAAAAGGTTGTTTATCATGCTTATTGCTTAAAATTAATGCTGATATTACAGGCAAGTTCTTCCTGCTGCCCATTTTAAAACAGAGATCAAGTTTTGGCTTCCTTGTGAAACTCTTCACTGAGGACTAGAGAGGGGGGAAAAGTGGATATACTATGCCATAAAATGCAGGTATCTTGTAACTTCTTTTAGAACAGTTTAGCATAAGTTTTCCACTTAACTTATGCAATATATGCATTTTTTTCTCTTTGTGTAAAAGCTTCTGGATTTTTCAACTTATAAGATCTGCAGGGATAATGGTTTATGACAGGAATCACAATTAAAAAAACCCCTGATCTCTTGACTGTTCTAAAGCCTTGTGGGTGGGAGGAAGGGAGGGCAAGACAGAATAAGGAAATATCTTTAAACTATTCATTTTGGCTTGCTTATGTCTGTAAAATTAAAATCCCAATTTTCTAGTTTCTCTTGCTTTTACTCCTTACAGGGTATTTTAATTTGACAAGCTTTACTATAAGGCAAGATCAATGAGCTAATGTCTTAGCATTAAAATAATCAGTCTACTGACAATTTAAAATGTTAAGGCAAAAGCCTGTTAAGACTGTATGGTCATACAGAAATACCAGGGAGGAATCCTCTCTTTAACATACTTTAATTTTTTAAGCAGCTGAAAGACGTATGTGCATACTACCAATGTCTTCTCAAGTGCATTTGTTCTACTACTCCCATATAAAAAGTAGGGGGGGAGATCTTATTTAAAAACCATTACAAAGATACAACTATTGAATCCAGGTTGCCAGAGAAATCCTTTAAGATGGAAAACCACTGTCTCTCAACAATAAGATAATGCCATGGGGGATAGATGATTATCCATGACATAATTTTGTTCCAGAGTATTGTCTCAGCTGCTTTCCTGCACAAACCCAGCACCTTGGGGTATGAGAGCTTATTGTAATTTATTCTCTACTGTATATTCAAGCCAAAACACTAGAGTATAAGCTATCATTTAAAAATGCCTTTTTTATTTTTCCTCAGACCTCGGTGCTGGTAGGTTGCATATTTTCTAAGACAAAACTGAGAGGGTCTTTACAAACAAGCAGAAAAATAACACACACAATGAAGTTGCAGTATCCACCAGATTCTTACTTCTGGAGCTGACAACCCAAAATATTGAAGTGGCCTTCTTGATGCAGCAAGTCAGACCTGGTTCTCCTTACCTGAAGCCTTACTTAACATCAGGCCAGGGTCAGACTTCTTCTGTTTAAAGGTAAGGGTGTTCTTGAAGACTTAAGATGATGATTAGGTCTCTCCATCTCAAATAGTAATTCAAAACACTTAAACCCTCTTGAATCCTCACAGAAGTCTGGCATCAGGAATATTTTAAAATAGATATTTGTGATTTTTTTTTCCCCCAAGGGAGAAAAAGGATTTAATGTGTTGCAATTTCTCTATTGATGATCTCAAAACTAATAGAGAAAATGGGCAAGATTTTGCTGCTGCAGCCTAACCTTCCGGTTCCAGCTTGCGAGCTTTCCTGTATTTCAGAGCACTTTGCTGTGGGAGTATAGAAATGCAGTCCCCTCTTGCTCTCAGGACTGGAGCTGTACTCAGTGGCTGCAGACAAGCCTCTTTGTTCTTTAAATCCCAACTGAACCAGAGATGCAAATCTGACAAGCTGAAGCAGCACTCTCATCCTGCTTCTACTGGGTAAACTGGGCCAGCTTTTGTGACAAGGGCAAAGAGAGAATAGTTTTTCTAAATCAAAATACTGAAAAAAAAAAAAGGGCAAGCAATGGATTGTGTAGTCTCTTTATGTGCAAAATGTGATGGTGGTGTTTTTTCCCTTTAGCACATGTTTTTAGTTGCTGACAAGAAGCTGGAAGGCCCAGGGCAATAGGAAGACTATCCTGATATCCATAGATTCACCCATGACCTCCTACAGCAGTATATGAACCCAATCTCTGAGTGGAGTTCCCTTTAAGAAAGCTGCACCCAAGTGATAAATCTGTTGTCATTCTTTCCACAAGTACTTGAAGGGTATTCCCACTGGTTAATGAGCTGTGGGATAACAGCTTAGTTACTTTTATCCACATCTGCTTTAGCAACAAGCAGAAAGTTGTTATTCTCTACATGAAATCTAAAAATAGTTGTTTTAAAACAACAAAAAACCCACCCCTTCAAAAAACAAAAAAACCCAAAACCAAACCAAAAAAATAAAGAGCATGGAAATACTCTGAGCAAAAGTCATCTTCATGAAAGCCTACCTGTCAAGTTTATGTGCAAAATCTCCTTTATTAGAAAATTCTTGTAGGCAGTGCTTAATAGATGGGATGTAGTGAAGACAGACAATAACCTAACTGTGCAGTTTTCTCTTTTCTTTTTCTTTAAGCAGGGTTTAACAGCCTACAGTACAAGATTCTTAGTGCCATACAAGCCTGGGCTACTGAGGATGAAATATATTATCAGTAGAGGCAACACAGCTGTCAATTCCTGCAGAATTTAATTATTCTCTGCTATTCTTCGATTCTTGCTGTCCTTACAAATTCATTTTTCAGTGACTTAAATCTCTCCCATCCTGAAATACCATAATTGACTGAGATCACAGTACAAGTAGTTATTTTCTTTCCTATGGAAGAATAATGAGACTTTGAGATAACTTAAAAAATGCAAGTTTTAGGTTCCTTTATCGTTTTTCTTATTGACATTGAAAGTTGTTTCTGAACAGTTCTGGGCAAGATGGGTCTTTACAGAGGCCATTAAAACTATGCTTATCCAGAGCCTGGGTGACCAAGACTGAATAGATGCTCAGGGGCAGAGGAGGATCTATCAAATCAGAGGACGCTTTTTGTGAAGACTTGCATGAAACTTGCAGTTCAAGGCCATGCTATTACAAGAGAAAGGGAATGCATAAAGGGTTTTATTGGCTTGTCTCTCTTCCACCCACACAGCAAAGGAAATGTGTATGTGTGTATATAAATGGCTATGGGTGGGCACTGAATATAAGCAGCTGTGGTATGACAGTTATCTGTTTCACCAAAATGAGTTTTGAGAGAGATTTTAAGAGGTTTAATTTTAAAACCCTTTTTTATGAAAAAAAAAAAAAAAAAAAAGACAGTAAGGCAGCAGAATCAATTGTCTGGTTTGAGACCTACAAACTTAATTTAGAAGTGTACCAATGTTTATTTCACTACCAGGCCAACTGAAATGGTCTGAAACTTTACAACTTGCCTGTTTTAGTATTCATGTAGTTATCTTTCTTGCACAAAAATATAGTTTGACAAATTGAAGTCCAAAAACTGGTATAGGCGATGCTACAATACTGGTGCACCCTGCTGCATACAGTGATAGTAATGTTATGGAACAAATCCACTTTAAATCATAGGATCATAGAATCAGCCAGGTTGGAAGAGACCTCAAAGATCATCGAGTCCAACCCTACTGTGGTTACTAGACCATGGCACTAAGTGCCACATCCAGTCTCAGCTTGAAAACCTCCAGGGATGGTGAATCCACCGCCTCCCTGGGCAGCCCATTCCAATGTCTGATCACTCTCTCTGTAAAAAATCTCTTCCTAATATCCAACCTAAACCTCCCCTGGCAGAGCTTGAGTCTGTGCCCTCTTGTCCTACTGCTGGTTGCCTGGGAGAAGAGACCAACCCCCCCCTGACTCCAACCTTTCAGGAAGTTGTAGAGGGTGATAAGGTCTCCCCTGAGCCTCCTCTTCTCCAGGCTAAACAATCCCAACTCCCTCAGCCTCTCCTCAGAGCACTTGTGCTCGAGTCCCTTCACCAGCCTCGTTGCTCTTCTCCTACCACCAGAGTTACAAATATTTAATAATATACCAGCATTTGGAAGAGTTCCACCAGCAGCTGCTTATGTAAAATGAGCTGTGTATGACAGAAACAGGGTCCCAGTATGTTATTATAATTAAATTATTTGCTTTTAGTGTTTTGGAACCTAGCAGCATCCTTCCACTAAGGAATGTGGTCCATAGCCCACAAACAATTTGTCCTGTCCTTTCTCTAACATGGTTTAGGGAGGGAGGAAGGAAGGAAGGAAGGGAGGAAGGAATAGCTTCATTTTCTCCAACTGTTCATACACTCCTGCAAGACAACAAAAGCTACAACCATATGTTAAAATTATGTATTTGTCTGTTTATATTGTTTTTTAGAATACATAAGGCAACCAATTTAAAAACATTTTCTCCAAGAAATGTGAGCTGAATAATGAACCATATGTGATCACAGAATGAAGTGCAAAGAGATGCATGCTGGAGGTCCTGCAGAGAAGTGTCACGAGTCCCATGAGTTGTGGTTCATTCATTTTTGGTTTCTTGGTTGTGAGGCCATGTACAGTGCTACTAGACAGTAGATAGTTCCACCTATTGTTAGAGCCATGGTGGTCCGATAGAGCAGCCTATCTGGAACTCCTCGCTTCAGGTGTACTGGCAGGCCATCTGCTTTCTGTGGGGAGAGTTTAAAAAGAAAACAAACAAAAAGATAAATTAGCACTCACACCAAAGCCACGAGGAACAGGCTAACTCAAGCAAACTAAGATACTTCCATGAGGGAAACCTCCTGACAAATAGCCTAGCTACAATCATGTGTATTATGTGGCATTTATCTAGCAAGACAAATGAGAAGGCAAGTTAATTTTGTTAGCCAAAGCTGTTAAGTGCAAGCAGAAAATATATATCTTGACATATTTCTCAAGATGACCTGGATGGGAAAGGGTCACTAACAAAAGAATGTAAAGAGATATGTATAAAGAATTATTCACCAAGTCAGACTGACATCCACTAAATGCAAGTGGCATGTAAGAGAGAAAAGGGAACATTATATAAAGCACAGTCTTGATGTTTAAAAAAAAAAAAGCTTAACTAATTTGTTTTATGAAAAGTCCTTAGAAATTGCATAGCTAACAAACTGGCTTTGAAAACTTTACTGTTCTGTGTATAATCATTCAAATATTACTGAAGCTGTTTATAATGCAGTATAAGAAGAGCACAGTCAAGATCTGCTTTGCTCCTCCAGATCTAATTTAAGGCATACACTTCCCAGATTCCCAGAAAGAAAGGGCTTCCAATAATCAAATAATACAACAAACATCTGAAGCTAGCAATAAGGCAATGTTACTAGGCTTTCCACTTTCTGTATTTAACTCCTACACCAGGCACAGATATACTTTGTACTACAGTACAAGTACACAGGTTATACTGTACTTGACACTTTCTTGACTAGACTTTACAGAATTCAGGTATTGTAGAATAGTTAGCTACATTAAAATAAGGACAGTTTATGTCCCACTCTCCAGTTCTCTTTAAGTTACTCTCGAAGTTGTCATTACCTGAAAAAGTTTCTGTAGGCCTGGCACCTTGTTTTTACCCAAGAAAGAATCAGTTGCTGGTAAATCTGAAGCCAGTTTACTTGTTGTCCCAAAAATCGGAGCTGGGGATTCAGTGGGAACTATTGGTTTGAGTCCCTGCATAAATAAAAATTAAAGTATCAAGGTATATAACACTTGCAAATGTACCAGTTGTCACTTTAGGCAGGTACACTGCCAGTCATTACAAGGATACATTACAAAGAGTACTTAGGAAGACCTGTGACAATGATCTACAGACACACTGTTGGCCCACTCAGTTCTGAGGGACAACTTTGGGTCATAGCTCAGCAAAGAAAACAGAAACCTCCTTTCCAATTTCTTCATGGCATAAATTTATAGCTATTGTAAGTTCTTCTGTGCTGGTACTTGGTCCAAATTGCTGCTTTTTTGTGCATGTAGTCAGACTATCTAGGAGACTCAGCAGTAGGATTAGAAGCAAGAATCCCTAATGCTGGGTCAGAACGAATGAACTCTACCTCCTCAATGCTGCAAGCAATAGCCATAAGGAACTGGGCCTTAAATAATTTTGATGCATATTTTGAGGAGTAAAAATGAAAAACGGGGTAGAATCACAGAATCAGGTTGAAAAAGACCTCTGAGATCTGGCCACTAAGTGCCATGTCCAGTCTCTCCTTAAACACCTCTAGGGGTAGTGACTCCACCACCCCCCATGGCAGTCAATTCCAGTGTCTAGGATCACTTGTGTCACACAAAGTCCCAAGTGGTGCTCAAGGACACTCCAGAGGCCCTGACATGGTTTCATGCAGGTGTAACTACATCCTATAATTCACATGTTGCTGCAACTTTCCACACCTCAATGTACTCCTCATGAGCAGCACAGGTCAATATCTTTTTGGTTCAGATGGTTCTACTCTACATTTGCCACAGCTAAAAACACATAATCCAGATCTGTGCTTACGGGCACCAAGTCACAGCTATCATGAGGTGGCCTCCTTGCCTCTATTATTCTAGCTAGATTTAACAGTTATGACTGGACACATGGCAGTGATGTTTTACATTATGGCTCCTGAAACAGCTGTAATTTATTCTTTTTCTTCTCACTCACCACAGAAATTCAAAGCATTGTAGAGTTAGATTAATGCAACAGGTTTTCATTACAAACAGAAGCAGTAAGTGTTTTCCATGGGTCAAGTTAAGTCCTTGCTGAAATTCTAGTTTCTGTTCAAAGGACTAGTTGATGCACTTTGTATTTAAGAGAACTGCCTGAAAAGAATTCAGAGCTGAAAGCAAACTGGCACTCTTTCTATTATCCCTACCATAGACCAAATGTGATTTTCAGATGTAAATTCTCCGCTACAACAGGGATCTTCAGCCCAAAGACCAGATTTTTCAACTTCCCAAAATCACAGAATCAACTGGGTTGGAAAAGACCTCCAAGATCATCGAGTCCAACCCTACCATGGTCACTAGACCATGGCACTAAGTGCCACATCCAGTCTCATCTGAAAAATCTCCAGGGATAGTGAATCCACCACCTCCCTGGGCAGCACATTCCAATGTCTGATTACTCTCTCTGTAAAAAATCTCTTTCTAAATAGCCTACAGAATGGTCATCAGTGCTCTATCCTGAAGACATGGGTTCAGCCTCCCACTCTTCTAGTGCCTGAATGAATATCAGAATCCATTTGTCACCTTCCTGGTTATGTTTTGAAAGGCAGCAGCCAAAACTGGATTCCCTGGCACATTCAGCAACTACTGCCTTCCTACTGAAGAGGGTTGAGCAGGAGTAAGTACTGAAATTCAAGACCAGTAACCAATTCTGGTCATACTGGCAAGAAGGAAGCATCTAAGGAACTATTATTAGCCAGGGAAAGTTACTGACTATTGTCAGTAACTACACTAGCTACTGAGAAAATTAACCCCATCCTGGCTAAAACCAGGACACTATATATTCAAGGTACCAGCTACATCAAAAGACTTGAATAAAACAATTTTGGACCAGTATTTTTGTCTATAAGAACTTTTAAGTATTTTATTAGATTTGTCTTTAAAAGGCTGGTAATTTGAGAAAGAATTATAGAACAGATGTTTATACCAAATGGGCAGGTGACTTTTTCTCCAAAACTTTTCTTGCCTTCTTGATTGTTAGTATCACAGCAATGTCTATCTCTCCTCTGCCTCAAAGTTTCCAATTCTGAATCTCACTTTTGCCTTCCTGAGAGCCCAACTTTTTCAGGAGCAGTCTAGTAACTTCAACAGCTACTAAGCCAATGCAATTCCTGCTTGTTGTGATCAGGTCTACTTTATTTCATGAGCTATATGTAGTGTGTTAAACCTGTAAATACTGAGAAGTGGAGTAAGCTGCAAACTACTTCCAGCAGTTTCATGATAATACTTCTTTCATCATTCCTATACTTACAGATAAGATAGGAGGCAATCCTATCTTAACTTGCATTGATCAGGGTCCCTCACCCCAATGTAAAATTCAACTTGAATTTCATCCATGAATTGTGAATGCTGTGGTCAGCTCCAACTAAACTCAGCTGATTTAGTGTAACTGCCTAGCTGTTCCAACTGGGTACTTGTCCCTGGTTACTTAGAGAAGAGGCAAGTGCTTTATCTCACACACAGTTCCTTAAAGCTTCGTGTGGCTGAAGAGAAATCCTCAACACAATGGCTGAATGTCATGGCAGATCATTTTTAGATAAGAATTGAGACACCTTAAATGACCCTTGCCACTTGTATTTAACATTACTTAAACTACAGGTTTATTTAGTATCAGTGTCTTGCTACACTCAGGATAGTACTGAAGAATTGATGCCTCTACACATTTGACCTCAGCTTCATAATAAAAAGGTTACAGATTGATAATTCCTCTTTTGATACTAAGGTGTTAATATTTTATTTCTAATCACTATAACATGAATTTGTTCCCATTCTTGGACAAAGTACAGCAGATACAGTCATGCAGAAGAATCAACATCAGCACACTAGAGCAATGACTCTGTCAAATGCTGAAGTCCTCAATGAAAGGTCAAGATACAGCTAAACCAAAATAGCAAACAGAATTCCCTGCCTGCCCTGCTGTAGAGTGTTTGTTCTCCTGTCACAGGTCTGAAGGTCTTAGGACCTGGTTGGCCACCGTGCTCAAAGTTAACACAAACTCATGACTTGCTAGTATGAATTTGCAACTTAGATTTACATTTTCCTGACAGCATAAAACAGTTAAGGATTTGGAGCATAATTTAATGCAGATAGCACCACACTTAAGCTTTTAAATGTTAGGGGAATTGATCAAACAGATCAGAGAATGAGAAAACAGGTCAAAAGGGAAATGGGAAACAGGAAAGAAAGTTAAGCTGAGATTTAGTATTTCAGAGCATGCATTGAAGTACCTTTCATGAACTCGCTGAACCTAAATAGGTCCTTGTAGTAGAACACATCTCAGTGTATGAGGTTAAATGTATTTGTTACCCCTAACACAAGGATTCTCTTAGGTAGGATCACTTGAGGCTTTCTTTGTGTTGGGACGACACACTTAAGTAAAAGTGATTTTGTGTAAGTCTTAAGTATGGCATAAAAGGCTAACCATTATAGTTTCTCAACGAACTCCATGCAATTCATAGTGGCTAAAAACAATAGGTCTGCAATCTGTAGGGGATTTAAAATAGGTTGTATCAAGTGAAGGACATGGTAGTATAATTAACTTTCTCCTAGGATCATGTTCGGCATTGAAGAACTAGGGAAAAGTTCGTGTACTTATCCTCACCTGACATTTGAAACTGGTCCCACTGTTTGTACTTTAAACATAAGCCAACTCTTTGAATTAATATTTGTAATAGTTATGGCAGTCATTATCCTCCTAAATATGAGTAGTTTTAAACCTATTTGACTTCTCAGCTGCTCTGAGAAAGTTCCCGTTTATTCAAACAAGCTCAATTGTTCAGACTACTTTACACAACTTTGCTAAACAAAAAATGAAATCTAAGAATGCCAAGACAATACAGATTTCAAACTTAGATTTTTTTTTGTTAGTATAAGCTGTTAGTTACATTGCTGTCAGCAAAAGAATTTCTGAGATACGTTTTGGCTGATATTTTGCAAGGCCACAATAAGCTTGAACCTGCAGCAGAACAATACTCCATTGGGAAGCATCAGAAGGTAACAGCACAGAATAGAATCAATTATTATACTGCATACTTGACCAAGCACAATTTTAATCACAGGATGTCTTCATTTTTCCAGAAACATAAAAAGCAAACCACTTTACATGCTGAGCTATAGCTGTATTAAATAGAGCAATGAAATCAATATGAAAAAATTACTTTGTTTTGAACTTAACACCGATTTACTCACAGAATTCCTTTCATATTTTAATTGCTATTCACTGAAAACATTTTTTTTTAATCAGACTGATGCATCTGAATCTGTGACTTGGGAATAGAGTCAAACTAAGGAAAAAAAAAAGTAAATTCTACCTCAAAGCTGACCTAATAACATTGTAAAAAGGGGCTGAAGGGAACTTTTTTTATTGTAGCTATTCTATTGCGTAGCACATTTGTGTGCCACAGTTGAAGACTGAACTGTATAAATGCTTAGCCAGTATAAAAGATAATGCTATTTTTCAATATGGAGGGAAAAAACACATTTGAAAAATGAGACAATATTCTTAAGTCTTATGTGAAATGCTCCTGCTTGGACACAATCTCATCTTCTCAACTATATTCTCTCGAAAATTAGGTTTTAACATTTCAGTGATGACACTATAATGAAATACAATGCCTGACAATGATCTAAAAAGAAGACACTACAATGTTCTGCAAGAAAAGTATCTCTATTCCTTGGACATTTTTTTCCAGCCTTGCAGAACACAGACCTGAGGTCTATTTAGACACTTTTTTTTGCAATGATGCCTATAGGTGAAAACAGTTTTACATAGGTCCTGTATGAACCAATTTTGATATATGACACACTACAGCATTTTAATCTAGATGTCAAAAATTCAGAATGTATTATGTCTTTCTGTATGTAGCACCATGATATTCATACATGCATAATATTCATTAACACAAAAGAATATGAGATAACAGAGAATTCTGTATTCCACTCATATCTTGCTCCTGCCTTTTTAATCCCTAAAA